GTGATATTACCTGTCTGGGATACTCGAGATGGGACTGATGTAAAGTTGGACTCGACTGGAGGGAGGGACAGGAGCATAGACTGAGTTGGAGCTAAATCAGAAAGAGTGATGCAGTGTCACCAGGAATTCTAACCAGACACACCTAACCAGAATTTTGGTAGTCTATTTATAGGCTGAAAATAGCCCAGGGTGAAGGTTGATTGTTGTATATCAAAGGGCTGAATTAACATTGTAGAGGTTTCCTTGAAGTAGATGGCTTTCAGAGGGGAGTAATGAGTCTTATCTATCTTGTATCTGGGCTCTAAATCTCCTGGCTTCCCTGTTTCCTGAGATGTGAATCCCTCTGTTTGCAACTTCTGAAACTAAATGTTTGATCTACAAATTGAAAGCTGGAGTCTATGTGATCAACTATCTCTGATACTCTATGTGACCAATGCACCCATGACGGCAACTACATTTCTATTTTAGGGTCATGTCAGAACTATTCACACACACAGAGCATGAAAACTGCTTGATTCGCCATAACAATTTATATCTTTTATACTCTGGAGTAGTTTTAGGAAGAAGGCCAGCGTGGTGTAGTGGTTTGAGCACTGGACTAGAACTCTGGAGCTCAGGGTTCAAATCCCTGTTTGGCCCCTTCAGTGGTCTTGGGTAAGTCACACTCTCTTAGTCTCAGAGGATGGCCATGGCAAACCCCCTCTGAACAAATCCTGCCAAGAAAACCCCATCTTAGGGTCGGCATAAGTCAGAAATGACTTGAAGGTGCACAATAACAGTATTGCATGGAACAGAATAAAAGATGGAACCCAATAAACACATTTACTGAAAAGTGATTAGACTGAAGTTAGCAGAAGTATTTTGTACATTCTTAGCATACAACCTCAATGACAAAATAAGGATAAGAAGCTAACAATAAGGCAACTATAAACAATACATCTATACTTGCATAGATTTATACAATTTGAATTTTGCCCTCAGACCTCATAATGAAGGACAGGCTAGAAATATTTTCATAAATAAAAAGTAAAATTAATAAAATGCTTATTCTTTATCAAGAAGATAATTTGTTACCAAACTGATTGAGGGAACTTGATTAGCTAGTTAACTATGGACCAAAACATTGCCAGGAATTGGACTAAATGGGAATATTTATCTGTCTGGATAAGGTTAGTTTCAGAGGTGTTCTAGTTATCATTCATCAGCTTAGGAACTTGGGTGCTTCTTATTGGTGTTTGATCAGCAAAGTGGTGGTGAACGTGGGGATTTCTCTTTCTAACAACTAGAAAAACATGCCTCTGAGAAGGCTCAGTTGCTATGGATTCTTATGATCTTAAAGCTAAACAAAGCAGTTTTAAAAATGCTAGCATGCAGCATGTTTTTCCAAAAGTGACAGTTTGACATCCCAGTAAAATTTTCATTAACCTTTAATAACATATCTGAAATATAGTGCTAGACCTCAAAATGGAGCCATAGTAGGAGAGGAAACTGCCTCAGACTGAGCCAAGCCATTGCTTCTCCTAGGTCATTCTGTTTTATATTGACTGGCATTGGCTCTTGGGTGCAGGCAAGCATTTTTCTAGTTCTTCCTGTAGGGTCCAGAGACTGGACCTGGGAACCTCTGTATGAAGAGCTTGTGCCCTGCTGTTGAATGTCTGCCCTTTCTCATGATGATGATTTTTGTTAGAAAGGGGAGATGTATAAGAACAGCAGAGGTTGAAGGAGGCTACTGGGCCATTATGAGGAACATTTGCCTGTTGCTGACCTTTGTCTCCTTTTCTTATCTCTTTGGTAAGTATAGAGTAGGAATATGATGAACACTCTTTACTGTTTGTTAAAGATACAGGATTTGGGGTTTTCTCAATGCCGAGTCAATTATTTATGAGCTCTGAAATTTGGCAACTGCTCCATTGAGATGTGAGAATTTTCAGACACTTTATTTGCAAAAGAAGCAGTGGGGCAGGCACTTCAATGAGACATTGGATGTTCAGGACATTGTTGGTTGTTTTGGTTATGTAATAAAAGTAACAGTGCTTTAAATATTCATTTTAATTGTGTGAATCCCAGTCGAGGAGGAGAGGGAATGCTATTGTAAAGATAAACACAGGCACTGCCATTTATTGTTAGACACTGCAAATGGAGTTTTATGATTCACACCACTAGCTAGGGAGTGTGAATCATAGAGTTAGGGAGGGAAAGCCAGGTGAGTGTTTTATAGCACTCATTCTTCAGGAATTTATCTGGAATGGTTTGTCTGTCTGTGAGGGGTGACCAAGTTGAAATATCTTATTCTCCATAGAAGAGAAATATGAATAATAACATTTCCTGCCCCTTCTTCAGGGACGAGAAGAATAAAAATATTAATTTACATCATTAGAATACAGTCATCATGGTAGGCATGTGAAATGGTTTTATTGCAATACGATTTACCCCACTTCCTTCTTTCTCTGATAGACAATAAATTGGAGGGAAAGTGGAGTACACACCACAGATCTCATACCCTTTAACTGTCCCAATTTGGTAGAGACAATCCCAATGCTCTGTCATCCCACCTTTTCAGCTTTAAAAATAAAATAAAATTGCAAAGCAGCTGGCTGAGCCCATCTGGACCCTTGGTTGCAGTTGCCCGGTGGCAGTGGCAGTGATTTCACCTGCGATAATACCTGCTGTGAAACTGAAAAGCGACTGTATCCTGTTGGGGATAAGTCACATTATTTACAGTGTGATAAACTCTCAGTCTGCTAGCTGCACCTGTTCTCCCTAAAATCTTGGCAGCCTTATTTTTAGTTTCCCAGGAGTTCCACCAAGGGTGAAAGGCTGAATCCATTGCCCTTGCTTTCATCTGAGCGATATCAGTATTGTGTCACATTGCATGGTTATTAAGCCAATCAAAGTGAGGTCAATGGCTGCTGCCCTTGTTCTGAGAATTCCTGGGAGGGAAAAAATGGTTTCTACCTACTGTTAAGATTTCAGGGCTGTGAAATGTGTGCTATTTAAACAAGCAGGTCTTAGAAGAAGGACAATTTTAGACAACTTTTGTCCCTCTCCCCCAGGAAAGAAGACATAAAAAATTATTTCCCTTCTCTCCCTTCCAAGAATCTTTGGCTCAGCCATAGTGAAAGGCAGGTCTAATAGAAGATGTAATCTTGAGCATCATAAGGCTTTTATACCATTCTTTTCTAATCTTTTCACTTAGAATTAGACTCTACAATTTATTATTTTGTGAAAATATTTGTGTGTGTCTGTATGGTGTGTGCCTTCAAGTCGTTTCCAACTTAGGACAACCCTCTCACTGGGTTTTCTGGGCAAGTTCCTTCAAAGGGGGTTTGCCGTTGCCATCCTATGGGGCAGAAAGTGTGACTTGCCCAAGGTCACCCAGTGGATGTTCATGGCCAAGCCGGGATTTGAATCCTATTTTCCAGGGTTGTAGTTTAACGCTCAAACCACTCCACCATGCTGGTATCCCACATTATATCACAGGCTCTCAGGGCAATCTACAAATAAAATCAGCCAGAGATTATTTAAAACAATTTAAAATTTTACAGTTGTATGGAATAATTTAAATAGTCTAAAAGAATATTAAGTACGGTAATTTAACAGTTTGGAAGAAATAAAATGGTTTAGACTCATATTTTCTGAATCAAATGGGGAAAATCTTTAAGCTCCCAAAGTTTGATGAAAAGCCATGGAACTGGAATAAATCCAATATCTATGCCAGTCAGGCCTCCCAAGGGAGAGTATTCTACACCCAGGGTGCCACATTAGTAAAAGCCCTTTCTCACATCATCAAACAGTGTATTACTCCCACTGCTGTGACACAAGAGAGTTCTCTTTTAGCAGACCACAGTCCTTGGACAAGCATATATAGGGATAGGCTCTTGTGTCCTAGGCTTCAAATGTCTCTTATTAGCACCTTGAATTCATGTGAGAAGCATATTGGCAGCCATTGCAATTCCTTTAAAATTGGCATGTCCTTTTGTCTTTTATAAGAGGTTTCCACCATTGGTTTAGCTACTGCACATTGCACTAACTGCAGCTTCTAAAAAGTCATCTTCATCAGCAGCCCCCTTTACGGTGAATTGAACTAGTCTAATCAAGAGGCTACCAATGCATGAACTACTATGACCAGGTTATCTCTGTCAGACCAATCAGCTTTCCTCAAACACTCTGAACCACAGAGTCCACCTGGGCCTCTAGTGGCCGATGGATCTAGCAGTGCACCCAGGCTATGAACCTGCTCCTTAACTGCAAGGGCAAATTGATTGTCCAGTTTCTGGACCTAGGAACTACCAATCCACAGAACCTCTGTCTTTCAGGGCGCTGTTTCAGTTTATGGGCCCTCATCTAGCCTATTACAGTATCCAGTCACTGGTTCACCTTCTGCAGAGCCTGACTGACTACATCAATAACAATAAATAGGGTCATCTGGGGCGAAACCTAATTCTCCATTCATGGGGGAAAACAGATGTATCTCCCCTCTCCCCAGCCCAGGGCAGACAGTTATGAACATTAAAATGTCTGAAGGGGAGAGAGTAAAGGAATCATTCCTTCTTTCTGTTCCATTCTTCCAGCATGTGTATGCATCCATCTCCAGATCCTTTTCATTATTAAAAAATATTGGGAGACTATAACTGAAGATTAAGAGGTCAACTGTTTTAGAGGAGGAAGAGATAATACTCTACAGCAGCCTTTCCCAGCCTGCTACTTTCTAGATGTATTGGACTCCAACTCCGACCAACTCAATCAGCAGGAGATGATGGGAGCTGTAGTCCAAGACATCTGGAGGGTACCAGGTTGGGAAAAAGTACTTTATTCGATGGCCACACTATTCACCATGATAGAGTGACCTACCTCAGTTGGCACCATGAAAGATGGGTAAAGATAGATGAAGGCAGCAACTGATGCCTGTTGTTGTTTTTACCTTGGCTAGTTCTTTGGCACAGTGTGTGTGAACGCTGCTCCAAGGGAGCACCCTGATGCTGCCTGCCGTCTGGTTGTGTAGGCAGTATGAAGGCAGCATTGAGGCAGAGTCGGGGCGGCTGGCATACGGTCGCCATGCCCCCACTCCACCCTCAGGCCAGCCCTTTTGGCCGATCTGTACAGCCCCACAGTCATGTTAGCCTGGAATATCAGTATACAAAGGGATCTTGTAGCACCTTTGAGACTTAGAATCTTATCACACTTTTAAAAAAGCCTTTTCCAGGTTCAATCTTTATCTGGGATACACCCGGACATTATCGCATGGGGTATCTCTTTAAATTGCCACTGAATCCGCCGTCCGAATCCAGACTGGGTAAATGGAGGGTCACAGCCACTCTCAGCCGGCCGATTTTCGAAAACGGCTTTTTAAAGAGTGTGATAAGCTCCTAATTATGCAAAAGAGGTTGTAGCCTTAGCTTTCACAGATTATCACATTATTAAATAAACCTGGCAAGTAAACAAAAAGACTCATGTTTTTCTTTCTCCCTTCTTTCTCCCTCTACATGCCATCGTTCTCTTTTGGTTCTAAAATAGAGGGAGAGGATCGTAAAAGTGTCCCATTTGCCAAGCTGAAACAATCCATTCAGCAAAAAAAATGGTGCTTTTACAGTGCTCTCCCATGCTTTTACAACTTGAAGAGATGTTCTCTTTCAGTCTCT